GGGGGGTGGGGGCGGGGGGTGGTTGGGACAGGTCTGTGAACACCAGGTGCCCGGAGCCTTTGGCAGTACTCCTGAACAGGCTGACTGGACATTGATGCACGGAAGGCGTGAACTCCACAGGACAAAAGCCAAGTGTCCAGCTGCAGCCTGGGGCCTGCCTGGAGCAAGCCAGGTTCTTGAGTCTTGTCTGCCTACTCTGTCTAACAGAGTGTGCTCAGCACCCAGCCTCCCTCTCAGGGTCGCTGTGAGGGCCCAAAGGGGCAGGTGCCTGACCCATGAAGACATTCAGCAGGTATTTATATAAACTTACAAATGTAAGCATGAGCTCTGTCACCCCCAACTGTCAGGGAAGACCCCACTGCACTAGAAACGTGCCCCAAGCGTGACTCCCACAGGCTGGGGTGAGCGCCCACTGCCTGCACAGGTAGCCAGCCAAGCAGTCTTGCAGACCTGGCCGGCCAAGGGGGAGGATGGGGCCTGAGACGCTTGCTGACAGCTGGGGTGCCCTGGGCTATGGGAGGTCTATGACCACGCCCTGGGGCTGCATGAAAGGCTCATCAAAAAGATACAGTATGACCTCTGCCCACCTCACTCCCCGGGCAAGTTATCAAGTTATTGCACTGTACTAACATCAGGCTGGCCTTCCAGAGGAGGCTGGGGGGGAAACTGAGAGTCAGAGAAGAGAGAAACAATGAGGGAGACAAAGCGAGCAGAAGACAGACAGATGGAGCAAGAGAAACAGCAGAGAGGGGAGGGGCCTGGAGAACAGGGAGGTTGCGTGCAGGAGATGCTCAAAAAGGGGAGAAGGACAGAAGGGGAAAGGGAGCAGGTGGAGAGAAGGGCAGGGCAGAGGAGCAGCCCACAGCACAGCGGGAGGAGGGGACGAAAGGACACTTGTGCCAGGAAAGAGAAGAAGTAGCAGCAAGGAACTGCAATGCAAAAAAAGAACAATAAATACCTCTGCCGGCCCCCTGCTCAGAACACTGTCCCTCTTCCCCTCTCCTTACAGGCCGGAAATGGTTCACGGGAAAACTTTGGCAGGGGAAGTGGAGTCCGGGCAGCTGCTCACTGACAGCGGGGTGGAGAGTCTGAAATCATGGTTCCGGCACCCCCTGCCTCCCCATCCCCACGCCAGCCCCACAACTCAACAGCATTTCCTGAGCATCCATGAGCTGCGCGTGCTCTGCAAGACCCCGAGGAGAGAGAGAGCACTGACTAGCAGGCGGGGTGGTCGCTGGCAAGTCCCCAGACACAGCCCCGGGGCAAGGGCTGTCCTCAGGCTCACCACCGTGCTCCTTAAGACCCACTC